GTGTGTGTCTGTGTGTGTGTCTGTGTGTGAGTGTGTGTGTGCCTCTTGTGTATATGTGTTGGAGTCTGTTGAAGTTTCTCCACCTGCTATGACCTGGAGATACTATGAGGTTCATGTTCATATGCTCTGGACATTTGTGAATATGTTTGTGAATATGACTGTCAGGTGTGTCCTGGAAGTCAGATGGGAGCATCAGAAAGTCCAGAAATGTCCAGGAGAAAAGTATCCTATCCCTGTCTCCCTGAGTACTTGTCCATGTAAGGAGGGCTATTTCTAACTTTCACAGATTCCCATGATCTCTTTGGTTCCTATTGACACAACCATTCTCCTTCACCTCCCACATTACTTATTTTATATTCTGACTTTACTTTTGTTCCTAAACTTTTTTAGGTCCTCTAAGGAAAACTTCCTCTTATACTTCATTCCTTTATACAAAGGTGGCAAATGAGGCTCAGTCTGCCTGTGTGTTCCCCTAAAGCATTCTATCTCAGTTATTAAAGGGCTCCATTCCCCATTCTCAACATCTGATGCTCCCAAGCCCCCTGAATATGAAAATCCTGTGGCATTTTAGGTTACAGGCTTTTATAGTTTAATTCATTGCTTTGGAGGCCAACCTTAGGACTTTACCAAAGTGATGATTTTTGCAATGCCAATCAATCTTCAACACCAGGAAGGAGAGAGAGTGGAGGATGAGTTTCAGTTGAACTAAGGAGCTGGGCAGAGAGAAAAGCCCTTCCTTTAAGTACAGGAGGGCTAATGCCGGGGATTTCCACTAGAGCAGTGGTTCTCAATCTATGGGTGTTGACCACTTGGGGGTCACATATCAGATATCCTGCATATCAGATATTTACCTTACAATTCATAATAGTAGTAAAATTACAGCTATGAAGTAGAGACAAAATAATTTTATGTTTGGGGGTCCCCACAACTTGATAAACTGTATTAAAGGGTCACAGATTATGGAGGTTGAGAACTACTTCACTAGGGCCTGAAGGTGTTATTGAACTGCTGAACACACATGAAGAGGAAACAGAATTTCATTGTCTTCCAATGAAACCAGCATGACCTGACAGGAAGGGGACCTGCAGATCCTAAGATCACCATAAGGACAAGGGACCCTGAGGGTGGATTTGCTACTTTATGAGTCTTGACAGCACAGAGGAGTCTTGAGGATGAAGGACACACTTAGAGCTCCTGCCTTTATACTTATCTCCATCTGTGACTTCTTGAGTGAGTACCTACTCACAGAAGCCAGGTGGCTTTTCTTGTTACAGCTTTCTGCTCCCTGATCTTTACGCCAACACCCAAATTGAGGTTTTGATTAAAAGGGCCAGGGATTATGGTGACTCCATGTATAAGGACAGGGATCCTGGCATTCCAGAAGGACTTCAGCTACCATGCTGTATTTATCCAAGAGGCTAGGGAAGGGGCAGAACCTGCAGAGGTGGCTTTGCCCTGCCTGCTGACTCTGGGCTCCCTGTGGCTTCTGCCTTATCAGTTCTCCTGCAATAAAAACTTTGTCCAACTCAGATAAATTTCCACACCTACATCTGAAAGGTACAAATTCCTGCCTGGGCAAGGCCTACCTGTTCTGTTTCCTGTTGTTATTAGAGTGTCATCTTGTAGCAGCATAGACTTGGGCCTGGGATTCAACAGGCCACTTGATAGACTTCCTGACTGGCTGTATGCTGAGACCTGTGACCTCCTGCTTCTCCTCCTCCATGTGCATGGTGAGACTGTCTAAGTGAGCAGAGCGAACCAGGGTCAGAGCTGTCGCAGTTCTGTAGAGTCAGAGGCTGATGTTATGGTAGGGAAGCACTAGGGAGGGAGGAGCTGGTGGAGATGACAGATGAAAGTGTGGGTTTCTGCAACCCCTAATGCCCCCACCAAAACCCGCATGATAGGCCCTGTGATACATGCAGTGTCAGAGATATGTAAGGATACCATGTACTGAGGAGCCAGTAGGGACAGTAGAGCAGGAGGCATATGGCCCCCGCCATGTGTGGTTGTGGCTGGAGTTCCTATTGACCTTGGATAATGACAATAATTCCTCTATAATGCCAAGTGGCTATGAGCCTCTCACCCTACTGTCAATTTTCAAAAGGGTTTCTGGCCCTAGCCTCATCTTCATATCCTACAGCTGAACTGAGAGGACCTGTTATCATCTCGATGTACCACAGTGACAATGAGGTAGGAATTCCTAAGTGTCACAACTGATGGCATCTCTCCACTTACAGGACAGGACTCATCCAGCCCCATCAGGAACACACACACAGGGCAAGTGAAAGGAAGCCTTGTCCATGTGAAAGACGGTGAAGTTGGTGTTCAGATGCCATGCTGTGTCTATCTAAGAGGCCAGGGAAGGAGCAGAATCTGCAGAGATGGCTTTGCCCTACCTGCTGGCTATTGGCTCTCCTCGGCTTCTGCCTTATCATTTCTCCGACAATAAGAGATTTGTACCTCCCAACCAAATTTCCATACCTACACCCCTAAAGGTACAAATTCCTGCTTGGGCAAGGCCTATGTCCTCTGCTCCCTGTTGTGGCTCTGAACCTGTCACCGTGATGACTAGAGAGGTACCCTTTCAGTTTTCAAGAGGGGCACTAGTCAAAGTTTCCAGCCCTAGGTAATCCAGAATGCCTCATCTCCACATCCCATAGCTGAACTGAGAGGTTTTAGATTACCTTCCCCATGTGACACCTCTCCACTTACAGGCCAGCACTCATCCCGCCCCATCAGGAACACACACAGGGCAGGTGAGAGGAAGCCTTGTCCATGTGAAAGGCAGTGAAGTTGGTGTCCACACCTTCCTGGGAATTCCCTTTGCAAAGCCACCTGTAGGAACACTGTGATTTGCTCCCCCCTGAGGCCCCTGAGCCATGGAGTGGTATTAGTTATAAGCTTTTTCCTTTTTTCTTTTTATTAAAATAGAAAAGGGGAAATATGGTAAAATTTTATTTTGTACTAAAATGTTGTTTGTATGTTAATAAATAAAGTTGCCTGGGGGTCAGAGCTATTAGCAAGCCATAGGAAAGCTGGTCGGTGGTAGTACACACCTTTAATCCCAGCACTTGGTAGGCAGAGCTAGGTAGAACTCTGTGTGTTCAGGGATACAGCCAGCATTGGAGACACATGCCTTTAATCTCAATACCAACCATAGAAGACCTGGAAGTCTGTACAGACAGGCAGTGACGAGGCGGTCATGCGGTAGGGTTTACAACCAATGAGAAGGCAGAACCGAAAGTCTTTATAAAGATTTTAACACAGGAAATAGCTCTCTTTTGGAGAGGTAGGACCACTGTAGGAGGAAGGGTAAGGTTTTAGCTCTTAGCTCTGACCTCTTGGCTCTCTTCTTTGCATTGGTTCTGTGTTTCTTATTTAATAAGAGGGTTGGTTACATCTACAGAGTGGTGTGATAGACAGCAGTTCAGAGACCCTTCCCCAGGGAATGGTGCCACCTACCATAGGCAGGTGTTCCTTGCTCAATGAACATAATCAAGATAATTTGCCACAGGCATGACTAAAGGCAAGCAGGCTCTAGGGCAGTGGTTCTAATCCTGTGGATCACAATCCCCAGAGGGATCGAATATCAGATATCCTGTATATCATATATTTACATCGCAACTTGTAACAGTAGCAAAATTATGGTTATGAAGTAGCAAAAATATTATTTTGTGGTCGGGGGTCACAGCAACACAAGGAGCTGTATTAAAGTGTCAAAACACTGGGACATCAACTAGAAAGTTGAGAACCTCTGATCTGAACAAAGGTCTTTTCCCAGTAGATTCTACATTGTGCCAAGCAACAGTCAAAACTAACCACCACACAGGATTTAATAGTACAGAAGTGATGAATGGTAGGACAGGAAGGCAATCATTTTCATAGAGGCTCCTAGCAGTCTCCATCAACTAGCCCTCAGGATATTACTATGCAACCAGAGGCCTCCCTGAAATTCCGGCTCCATTCACATTTCCACAGAGCTGGTGGCCTTTACCTTGGCAGGAGGGACTTTAGAGAGGGATCATATGTCAAGAGGGCATCATGGAAAGTAGTAGCTGCAGGTGGCTGAGATAATGTGCAAACTAATGTTTTAAGTTTGAACACCACTTATCTGGGATATGTGTTTTCAATTTTCACCAGGTGTCTGCAAAATGATATAATAACTTTAGTGGGTGCAAAGGAGATGAATCTGATCGTGTCTTCCATCCCTATGTCTGAGGACTGCCTGTATCTCAACATCTACACACCAGCTCATGCCCATGAGTGCTATAACCTGCCTGTGAGTGTCAGACTGTGGTCAGCTTGGGAAGAGGATGTTTCTTTCTCTGGAAGTTTGAAGGGACAAAGTAAATCTGAGCTCCACTGCAGTTTAGACCCTGATTAATAGTCTTACCTTATTGGGTTCAAGAAGGTCATCTCAGTTATGATGAGCTGCTTAAAACTGGGTGTGTGACTCAGAGCACTGGGGTCAGAGATGTAAGAGGTTCTAGGTCTTTGATTAAACCAGGATTTCTTTCACCTTGAAACTGTGAGACCCACTCTGGATTGTGTTCAAGGGCTACATATTGACATCACCAAAATTTGTAGCTTGCAGGTTATGCATTGTGCCAATGGGATCTGATGACCCTTATGAATAAGAATCAGGAAAGACATTCCTATTCCTCTACTTTGATGGGTCTGAAAGTGATGATGACACTACTTGTGATCCAGAACCATTAATTCGTGCTGAGATTTCCCATAGGGGAAGTGTGAATGGAATTATGCTTATAGGTCTAGAGGATCCCAACTGTAAACTGTGTACCAATATCCTGAGGAGTTCTGTGTGTGAGTTGACCTGCTCAGAGGAAAAGTAGTTGAAAATCTAGTAGGCACTCCAGTTGACCTTGGGCTGGTTGTGGGATGTGTGTTGATGTCTCTAGGTGATGGTATGGATTCATGGTGGTGGAATGGTAATGGGAATGGCTTCCATGATTGGTGTATCCAAACTGGCAGCTACTGAGGATATAGTAATTGTTTCTATCCAGTATCACTTGGGTATCCTTGGCTTCTTCAGGTTAGCCTGGGGCTGGGCTGGACAATGGGAACTGAGTAGAACATAGAAAGACCTGTGATTCCTATTCCTGCCACCTCATAGCACTGAATACCAGCACGCCAGAGGCAACTGGGGCTACCTGGACCAAGTGGCCGCCCTATGCTGGGTCCAGCAGAACATCGCCCACTTTGGAGGCAACCCTGGCCGGGTCACTATTTTTGGTGGGTCAGCAGGTGGCACAAGTGTGTCTTCACATGTTGTGTCCCCCATGTCCAAAGGACTCTTCCATGGAGCCATTATGCAGAATGGAGTGGCCCTGCTGCCTGACCTTATCTCTGACACTTCCGAGGTGGTCTGCATAGTGAGTGCCCGCAACAGCACCAGTTCCTACTTTGCTACCTCAGTCCTTGCCTCTGGTACTCTGTTAATCTATTAAGTGGGGGAAAACAAAGATCATGGGAAATAGCTTCTTTCCAATAATTATGGAAAGGCATAAACTTTAGAATCCACATCCTCTGCTTTATGTATGCTGAGTATGTTATAAGACAGCAAAGCTGTGCCCAATGGCTTTCATCATTGGCAAAAACAGGTGTGCATGGTTTCTTAGTTTGCTTCTTATTGCTGTGATAAAGAACACGGCCAAAAGCTACTTCCAAAGAAAGAAGTTTATTTCAGCTTACAATTTATAGTCCAACTTGAAGGAAAGTCAGAGTAGGCACCCATAATGTTAGCTGGAGGCCAGAAGTGAATCAGAGGCTAGGGAAGAATACTGCTTACCTACTTGTTACGTGTGGCTTCCTCAGTTGGCTTTCTTATACAGCCCAGGACACCTGCCCATGTACAGCACTGCTTATCATGGGATAGGACCGTCTACATCAGTCATTTATGAGAAAAATGCCCAGAATCACCTATGGACCAATGTTATAGATTCACTTGGAGTTCCTCTTTCCAGATGACCCTGACTTGTGTCAACTTGACAAAAAAATTAACCCAGACACATGTATTGAGGGAAGGGGCCAGCTGGTAAAAATACTCACTGCATAAATGTGAGGCCTCGGGTTCAAATCCCACATCAGGCTATAGGTGTTAACAGGTGTCAGTAAACCCAGTGCTCCTATGGACAGATGGGAAGTAGAGACAGTAGACTCCCTGGAAGGTCGTAGTCCACCTAAACTTGTGTAGACAAATGCAAACAATGGCAAGGTGACAAGTGACACCAAAGGGTGTTCTCTGACCTTCACAGGCAAAACAAGGCACTCCATACCTATTGTTACTCATGAACACAAAACACACAAAAACAAACAATACAACAGCCAGAAAACAAATGTGCAGGTAACCCTGTCCCATTATCACCTCTGACCAAAAATGAGTGAATAATTCCACTTAAATCCTTTCATAATCAACAAATAGTAGGATGTGGTATATATGGGCAATGACATACATTTGGAATCAAGGAAACTCTGCTCATGTTGGGAAGGATGAACCAACCACCACCTTTTTCATTTACATACAGTAGCCAACCTATCAGGATGTGAAGCTGGGGACGCAGAGGCCCTGGTTCACTGCCTACGAGACAAGACTGAAGCACAGATTCAGGCTATAAAGCAGGTTAGAAAAATTGTGCAGCTTGAAGGACCTGGTCACCAGGATGTGGGATTACCAGTACTTACTTCCAGAACCAGGTAACTGATCTCCATGGTTTGGTGCCCTTTAAGTACTGTGTGAATAAATAAAAAATAGGCTACTTTTGATGTACAGTTTCTTCTAGAGTGAGCATAGCACCCTGAGATAAGATAGGAAATAGAGAAATACCATGGATATTCAATAAACATCGGAATATTTATGTGATTGATCTTCAGCATTGACCCTTAATGCCTCATAGGTCTTCGCTATGATCCCTGGTGTGGTGGATAGGATGTTCCTACCTAGGCATCTTCAGGAGCTGTTGGCCTCTGTGGATTTTCACCCTGTCCCCAGCATCATTAGTATCGACAGTGACGAGTGTGGTTGGATAATCCCCTTGGTAAGACCTGGTTTTAAGCTCCTGGAAACCTAAACACAAATGATGGGTAGCTGGAACTCAGATCCTCTAAAATAGGTCTAACCCATCCTATACTTAAGACTCTCCTCTGCCTCCTAGACAAAGGGCCTTGATCATTTCATAAAGAACATAACCAGAGAGACTCTACCAGCTGTTCTGAAGAGCACAGCAACACAGATGGTGAGCAACTTTGACTCCTGTCCTGATAGAGAGGGTTCACATATATTCTTCTCAGATGCATGAAAGTAAAGACTATTATATGTGTGTGTTTTTGTGTGGGCTCACCCAAAGCTCATACATTTCCCTCTATACCTTGTCTCATCCCAGGCCACATTCCTTACTCAGAGGCTGCTGCCTACCTATCTGAGAGTCTGCCTAACATCACTCTTCCTGATTCCTCCTGGTGTAGAAGCTGCCTCCTGAATGTAGTGAACCTACTAATGGAAGAGTACATGGGGGACATTGAGGATCCCCAGACCCTGCAAGCACAGTTCAGAGAGTTGATGAAGGACTTCATGTTTGTGATCCCTGCACTCCAAATAGCACATTTTCAGTGTGAGTACATCATTAATAAGACCAAGGGCAGGGGTATCTCAGACTGTGGGTCCCAGGTGAGCACTGTAGTGTCCAGGCCTGACTCATGTCTTCACCAGGTCTCTGAACCAGGCACCTGAACACACTTACCACAGTAAATCTTTATGTCTAGTGTAAAAGAGTGACTTTTCATCCAATCCAGAGGAAACATGTTAGTTACACTTGGTGTCTTCTCAAAACTACTCATCTTGGAATGCCAGGGTCACTGTTTAACAAAAGGCTTCACATAGCCAATGATGCAGCCTGGAGCTCACCACTCAACTGTGATTCCAGATAAGTTTAGAGCAAGGTTTATTATCACCAAATGTTAGGTGGAAAAGCTGAATGTGAGAAGTCATTATGTCAACGTGTTTCTTCACGCCCAGGTTCCCATGCTCCTATCTACTTCTATGAGTTCCAGCATCAGCCCAGCTTCATCAAGCATAAGCATGTCAGTCCATCCCATGTGAGGGCTGACCATGTTGATCATGCTACCTTTGTCTTTGGCTCCTACTTCTGGGGCTTGAAAGGTGAGTATTCCTTATTTTCCTTTAGCTGAATGGAATCCCAGATGAGTTCCTGAGGGATTACTGAGCTCTTAGTCCAGCTGAGGATACTGAGGCTCTGACAGAGAATGGGATCAAGTGTTCAACATTTCTGAGCTGAAAATAAACCTATACCAAGGTTAGAATATGAACCTTCCTAGTCTAGCTTGTGCTATAAGAAATGAGAGCAAACTGTGGTAGGAGTGAACCTGAGAGAATTCAAGTAGAGGCTTGGAAGTGTCCTTAATTCTGAGTGCTGATAGAAGAGTATACACCAGGCTTAGAGTTCAGGTTTAGGCTATGGTTGCTATAGTAGAGCATGAACTGTCACCTGCATGAGGTAACTAGGACTTGGACCCTTGTCTCCTTCTGTCTGCAGTTGACTTCACTGGAGAAGCTGCTGAACAGGATGATGATGAAGTACTGGACTAACTTTGCAAGACATGGATGAGAACATGCCCTTCCCTCAACCTCATTATGGTTGCGTCTCCACCCAGGGCTCCATCATGGTGTCTCATTAGCATGTGTGAGTCCTTAATTATGCCATAGTCTTCTCCATCCCAGGGCATACTTAAGCAGATACCTTCTAGCTTTCAATTACTGGTCATCCCACAGGGATCTGGTTGGTGAGTCACAATATTGTGGTACTGTTCTTTAGATTTTTCCCTCTGGGAGGGAGACACAAAACTAGACAGCTTCCCATGCTTCATACGGAGTAGAAAATCATGGTGTCACCTGTATTCTATATCAGTACACTAGCCTATCTGTCCCTCACGCCCTTAGCCTGATCATCCACTGCCCTGACACAAATTTGGGGATCAGACTTTGCATCAAAATGACCTTACCCTTCCCTACTGGGTGTTATATCCACAGGAACCCCAATAGCAAGAGTCTACCCTACTGGCCTGAGCTGGTCCATGATGAGCAGTACCTGCAGCTGGACATCCAGCCTTCTGTGGGCCAAGCCCTGAAGGCCAGAAAGCTACAGTTCTGGACCAATACCCTACCCCAAAAGATCCAGGAGCTAAAGGGGACTCAGCAGAAGCACACAGAGCTTTAGTGCCTTGTGTCAGGAAAGATGTAGGGTTGAGGGGTCATCCTGATATTATACAGCCAATTTATTCATTTTTATTTGTTCCAACACTCACATAAATAGTTCTCTTTTTACCCTCTCCTTTATTTTATTTTTCTTTTGTTTTTAACTTATTGTCAATCCCAAACCATGCACCCCAATCCCACTCATCTCCCAGTTTGTACACATCTGCTCCTCATGCTTGCAGCATCCTACCTCCAAAGGAAAGCTAAAGAAGAACAAAAATAGATAAACAATTATAATTTTTTAATGGGAAAACATTTTGATACTCCATCTTTCCTGCCCCTCCATGGCCTCTTCATTCATCTTAGTGACACTGGGAGCTGATGTATATCATGCACTATACCCTTTTGTCCATACAGCTTTACTTGCAAATGTTCATTGTGTAATGAGTTGTTGGTCAGGTTCAAGGCTTCTGGATTTGGTACACCATCAACACTGGATCTCCAATGACATTCCTCTGCAATGTCCTACAGAGTCATGGAAATCATGAGACTGTGGCTCTACAGGATCAGTCCATTCAAACACTTCAGCAGATGATAGATGGTGTAGACATTGGGGTATACCAATTACAACTTCTGGATATGTGCTTGGGTGGTAGCTGAGTTGGTTGGTTCACACCACTGGGAACACTCCTCTCAGGTGAGTGACTGAGACAGCTGTCTCAGGCCCATGATGAGGAGTGAATTGAGTTTTCCCAAGTGTGGGGGGCTAGCTCTCTTATTAGAAGTAGGTCCAGCTTTCTCATGCCAGCATCTAGACTTGGAAGCATCTGCATTGCCTCTGGAGGTAACTAGAGCCTCTGACATATATGCAGACCCTGATTGTGAGGGGGCTATAGACCCAGACATGGTACTCAGCAGCCATCGGGCCTGGACAACACTATGGCCACAGGTGGCAGCACAAGCCACTGAGGTTGACCTGGTTCCCGCAGTAACATGTCCCTCACACTCCAGCCTGGCCACAGTGGGAGCCGAGGCTGAGGTTTCTTGAGGCCTTTGGTGGTAATGTGGGCCATGGACATCACCACAGAGCCAGGTTGTGGTCGAAACACTTACTCAGATATGGTCGTTGGCAGCACCCTGGGCCTGGATGTCATCATGGCCCCAGGTGGCTGCACAGGCCACTCAGATATACATCAGCCTGGCTGCAGGGTGGCCCTCAGGCCCCAACATGGCCCCAAATAAAGGTCTGGATTCCAGGTATCCATACCACCCCCAATAGTAACAAACACTATGGACATCAAAACAGACCCTGTCTGTGGTAGGGCCATGGACCCAGACATGCCCCTGACTGCAACTCAAGCCTAGGTGACTCAATTCAGATCAGAATAGTCCCTGGGGTAGTATGGCCCTTGGGTACCTACTAGGCCACATGTGGCATCCCCAACCCCAGGCATTTTCATGGCCTTTGGTGGTAACAAGAGCCATAGACATCAACACAGACCGAGGCTGCAGTAGGGTCATGGACCCACATGAGGCCCTTGGACCAGATTACAGCATGTTCCCTGATGGCAAGCAGGGCTCCCAACTCAGCCTGTTCCTCACAGCCTTCCCTTCTTCAGATCTGTCTCTCTGTATAGAACATGAACCTTTCTCCCTCCCATACTCCACCACATATTTGCTCACCAATCCAGCTGATGGGTTTTTTAATGGTGCCGAACAGACCCACCAATGCTCTGAGTGTGTGTGTGTGTGTGTGTGTGTGTGTGTGTGTGTGTGTGTCTATCTCACCACATAGGCATTTCTAACCTTAGCATTTGCCCTTTCAGTCATGTATAACAAAACCTCTGTGCAATAGCCCTTATCCTTTTGGGAAATCTTTGACTAGACTCAACAGCATGTTTGAATATTTAAGCCCCAAAGTGCTTCCATCTTCTTTACCACTTCATCTGGATTAGGTTCCTTCCTTCCTCCCTCACTCCATTTCTTTCTTCCTCCTTCATTGTTTCTTCCCATCATCTTCTCCCCATCCTCCCTCCAGACTCTCTTCAAATAAAGCAGAAGCTTGACTACAGGTGATTGGTGTGTCAAAATCCTGTATCGTCCTTCAGCAAGTTCATATTTTCTCATCTCTAAGTTGCCAATAGAAAACCTGATTTCCCACAGCCCTATTGCCTTCATAAGTTCACAATGTTGTTTCCAATAGACAATAAACTACAAAGTGGACCCTTAGTGTCTATGGCCGCAGATGTTTGAAGGCTGAGACATGAGGATTACATAAGGCCAGGGCAAGATAGCAAGACCCACATCTCAGATACAAAACAAAACATAACCTCAGGAACTTACAAATAATAACAAATTACAATTTTGTAGATTGAGAAATTCAGGGTCTAGATAGTCACAGATTTGATGTGGTGAGAAACAGGTCTCTGGCTGGAGATCTCAATGATTACCTCTTGTGCCCTTTCCTGGTAGAAAGTGTAAACAATGGCATTCCAAGGACATAAGGTCCCCGTTTACTTGAACTGGGGGCAGTTCTCTCTTGTTAGTGAGATGACCATGCAGGTTGTTTCCACTCTATCTGTAGAGCATTTATTGATGTTCCTACTGCTAGCTTGCCTCTGCTTTTCAGTTCTGTACATACACACTAAACTTCCAACAGGGAGTCAGAACATGTTTTAGACTTTAATAGTTATCTCATTTTTAGTAGCTTGAGTGTAGATTGTTTTTATGGGACTAGGGATTGATCTTAGGGTTTGTGTATGTTAAGTAAGTGCTCTACTGTGAACTATACCCTCTGACTACTGTGGATTGTTTACATGCAATCAATCTCTTTTAGGTGTATTGTTTACTAAGTCTGAGAAAATTCTCGAGGCACACAACTGCCACCACATCAGATTCAGAACAGCCCTCAGTCCCCAACCAAAGGCTTTCCTTGGGCTCCTTTGCTTTCATTGAATACCTTTGACCCTGATTCAAAGCAACAAGATATTACTTTATTTTGCTTTCTTGGGACTTGTCTCCAATCCAATATAAATAGAATGTTTTTGACTAGCTATTTCATTTTATTATATTTTTTCCTTTTATTGTGGAATGCCATTCAAGCGCACAAATGACACATTCCATCCTCTTACCCAATCTATGCCAGCTGTTTCACATGCTTATTTGCTCTTCTCTTTTTGAGATAAGGTCTCTGAGTTGCCCATGTGAGCCCTGAACTCATGATCTCATTTCCTTAATTTCCTGACTGGTTGAAATATAGGCATGAGCCTCCAATCCTGAATTTTGGTTTTAATAAAGCTGTATGGATATTCTCACACATGATTTCATGTGAGCACATGTATTCAGTTTTTGATTTTGCAAGCTAAAGCAGAATTGCTAAGTCAGGAGGCACATGCATTAAACATTTACAGAAGTTGTAAGGCTATGGCTATAGCTCAGTGATAGAAGGCTTTCCCTGTATCTACAAGGCCCTGGGTGTGATGCCCAGCACCATAGAAAATAAAATAAATGCAGATCATATGACATCGCTTGCAATCCTAGCTACTCAGGTTAAGGTCATGGATCCCAATGACCTGCTTGAGCTATAGATCAATCCAGAAAAGGCTAGGAAATTTAACTATGGTCTGTCTCGGCCTAATAAGCACAAAAATGCTAAAAATCTAATTTGACTTATTAAAGGGGAGGAGGAGAAAAAGGAGTAGGAAAGAAGAAGGGGAGGAGGAGGAGAAGGAGGAAGAGAAGGAGGAGGAGGAAGAGGAAGAGGAGAAGAGGAAGCAGGAGAAGCAGGAG